ATGGGTCTCGTGTTCTGTTCACACCGGCAGCCACAAGGTGGCAACATACAGAGAACCCCCCTTTTCACACAGCACAGTAGTTATTTCATCATGCTGGCTGCAGAATAGCTCCCCACCCCACGCCACCCCACCCACTGCAGGCTATAGTTCTAGGCATAAGAACGGCCATACCAGGTCAGACTGAAGGTCCATTTAGCTCAGTATCCTGCTTTCCAAGAGTGGCCAATGCCAGATGCCCCAGAGTAAGTCAGAGAACCCCCCTTTTCACACAGCACAGTAGTTATTTCATCATGCTGGCTGCAGAATAGCTCCCCACCCCACGCCACCCCACCCACTGCAGGCTATAGTTCTAGGCATAAGAACGGCCATACCAGGTCAGACTGAAGGTCCATTTAGCTCAGTATCCTGCTTTCCAAGAGTGGCCAATGCCAGATGCCCCAGAGTAAGTGAACCGAACAGGGACTCATCAAGTGATCTCTCCCCAGCTGACAAACAGAGGCTAGGGCCACCATTCCTACCTATCCTGGCTAAATGTATCTAGTTGTTTTTTGAACCCTGTTAAAGTTTTGGCCCTCACAACATCCTCTGGCAAGGAGTTCCATAGGTTAACTGTGCGCTGCGTGAAGACAAACTTCCTAACACTGCAGCCCTCCCGCTGCCCCACGGCGCACACAAAATCTACTAGATTAGGGCCCCCCTAGGCTCTGGGAGGGGAGGGTCTTTTTCCTTCTCAGTTGGGGGCCTTGTCAGTGAGGGTTTTGGCGTTTTTTGGTTTTTTTGCTTTTCGCTTGCTGATTTTTCTGTGGGACAGTGGCCCTGGACCCAAAAAAGGTTCCCCATCCTTGCTCTGCATAAGTAGAGACAAACAGGAAGTTAGAGGGAAATAAACAGGGAAAGAACAAGGGGAAAAGAAACTGGATTGAGACTGGCTGGAAGCTTTGCCCAATAAAACTCAAATTGTTTGCAGCTCTGGGCTTTGGGAATTGCTGGTTACGAGAAAAGGACCAGATAGGTGGGAGGGTGAAAGGATAAATCCTCTAACAGTGGGTTCTCACGGGGAACAATTCTATTAATCCCAGGCCCGATCTTGGGCCGAGAACCTGCCAAACATCGGTGTGGTCCGGAAATGCCTAAGGAACCACTACAATGAATACCCAACTCCAGAGAGCAGGCCACAGGCACAACTCGCTCGCGCCCACCCACAGCCTTGTGTCTTCAGGCTCCGATAGAGAAGCAGGTCAGAAATCAGAGATGGGGTTCGCTCCCCGGCAGTTTTAATGAGGGATTCCACTTCCACACCAAGCCGCCGGCTCATTTTCCTGGAAGCCGGCTGGATCCCGCCTCCTTTCCAAAAAAACCCCGCGCCGCGAGAGAGAGGAACGGGCGGTAGGCCTGCCCGCCAAGAGGCCCCGGGTTTGACCAACAGATGCTGGTTGCGGGGTGGATTCGGCCGGAAACCCAAGAGAACGGGCTGTTTGGTTTGTATTGTCCGAAGGAAGTGGGCGTCACAGCGCCCCCTAGGGGTAAGCGAGCCGGGAGCACAGCGTACGCCCAGACAGCCGTTTCCGCTGGCTCTTCGAAGTTGGCTGGTTTGTCCATGGCGCGAGAGTGACCCCTACTGGCCAAGGGAAGCAGTCTGCCCCCTAGGCCAGTCCTGTTCTGCCATGGTCACACCCAGCGAGCAGCCGGCTGCCCTTGCAGGCCCTTCAGTCTCTTAGTATCTATCCTGTTCTGCCATGGTCACACCCAGCCTTGCAGGCCCTTCAGTCTCTTAGTATCTCAGCCTCGTTGGTCCTCTGCACTTGAGCCCGGCCCATGGCCCCCGGTAGCTTGGGTCCTTTCCACATCCAGCAGCAAGGAGTTCTCTAGGTGAACCCAGTTTGCTAGAGGTGACTCATTCGTCTGCCGCCGACGGAGGGGTTCCCGGTCTGGCTGCCATGCGGCTGAGGCTCTCCAGGGCCTGAGCCAAGTGTGCCAGCTCCGTCTGGAGAGAGGAAATCTACCGGGGAAGAAGGAGGGGGGAGCCATATCTGATCAATGCAGCCACATTCTCCACCACAGAGATGCCCCCTCCAAACCCTGACACCCCCCCACCTCCAAATTCATCTGTCACTGGGATGCCCATGGACACAGACACACCATCTAATTAATGTCACTGGAAACACCCCCTCCCCCCGATTCTATATCATCTTTCACTGGGATACACAAACACACACACACACATACACACCACCTCCTAATTCATCTGTCACTGGGATCCACACACACACACACACACACACACACACACACACACACACACACACACCCACTCTCCCTCCTCATTCATCTCACACACACACACACACACACACACACACACACCCACCCTACCTCCTAATTCATCTATCACTGGGATCCACCCCCACACAGACACACACACCCCATCTCCTAATTCATCTGTCACTGGGATACACACACACATTCACCCCACCTCCAAACTAATGTTTTTGAATGCACACACCCCCCTCCAAATTCCCCCTCTCAGTTTCACTGTGGCTACAATGAACCGCACACACACGGGACCGATCTAGTGCTGGAATGGACAATACACGTGTGTGCATGCACACACAGGAAAATACATACACACACACGCGCGCGCGCAAAGAAGAAAACATGCATACATACCTAGAGGAAAACGCACACACCCTGCTCTAGCAGCCAGAACAAGCATCCATCTCTCTCTCTCTCACACACAGACACACACACAAAATAGAAAACTCTGCCAGAGAAATTTGGGAAAATTCAAAATATGTTTTTTCCTCGCCCTTTTTGCCTGGTTTAAAATCAAATTTGCTCGTTTCTCATTGCCTAAGCAATGTCTTGGACGGTTTCTATTTTTTAAATCTGGGTGAGTTGAAATCATAGGGTGGGGTCAAAAAAATAATTTCACTGGGAATATTTTTTAAATGGGTTTCCAAAAAAGTAATTTTTGAATCTTGGGGAAAACAAAGAAAAAAGTTTCGACTAAAAAAAAAAAGCAACATTTTCAGGAAAAATGTTTTGCTTTAAAAAATTCACCCCTCCCCCCCCCAAAAAAAAATTCACAAATAAAATAATCCTCACAAGGTGAACTATATGAAGGCAGGAAAAGGGCCCCAACCTCTGGGAATAAATTTTTTAAAAGCATCGCTACCAGTTCTAATCACACAGACCCCCTCCCCGCTACTACCGCTCATCACCTTCAGCTGGTTCTCTGCCTCTGCGCCCGGTAACACCGTCTCCTGGTAGCCAGCAGCTTGGGTCCGTGCCAGGAGCGCCAAGATCTGCCGCTCCAGCTTCTCCTTACGGGATGCTAGCCTGGGGAGCTCCGTCTCGGGGTCAACCAGCCCCTGGGTGTGTCAGGAAGGGACAGGAAATAAAGCCAGGTGTACTGGTACGTTAAACGGGCAGGATCATGTCGCCCTCTAGTGGCGACACAGCGTAGAACAGCCCCTTCCTGGTGCAAGGTGTGACTGCGTCGCCCTCTAGAGGCAACAAGGGGGTATTGCACCCTGCTGCTGGCACCACCGTTGTAGTTAGTGGTGTGGGGGGAGGAGGCCTTTAGCTGACAGGCTTGAGGCTGGGATGCTAGGTCCCAGGTTCAAGGTCAACGTGTGCCCCATTGCGGCCATACAGCTGCAGTCCGTCTCTAAGGAAATAAGCCCAGGGCCTGTTTAACCCCGAGGAGCATTGGGAAGTGGACCCTGAGTCATCTCCTCTCTGGCTCCCCAGCAGGACTTTCTGGCCCGGCCTTGTGCCTTCTCCCCACTGGGCCCCCGATCTCCAAACACTGCTCCCCTGCTTCCTCTAGCCCATCGGTAAAAACAAGGATGCAGGGACCCATCCAGCTGGGATCCCTCCCCCCTTCCTGTGCTGCCCCAGATCAGAGCCACGGGCCCATCTAGCCCGGTATCCCACCTCCTATAAGGCCAGAGGAAGCCATAAACTTTCCCACGATGCACCTCACGGAGCAGCACTATCCAGTGTTTTTCCTGAACCTCTTCCCCTCCATCCCAACCTGGCTCTTGCTTGCACCTGGCTCTTACCTGCAGGTCCAGATAGATCTCAGTGTGGCCGTTCACTCTCCCCCCAACCCAGCCCACAGGAGGCTCCGCCCCCTTGGTGGAGGGGAGGAGCTCCAGTGAGCCGGCCAGGGACAGGGTTTGCAGGGGCTCACGGTATTCCTCGTACACCCGGCAGGGAGCTGGCTCTGAGCACAGCAGGTAGACTGCAGGGGCACAGAGAGAGAGAGAGAGCCCATCAGCCAATGGGGTGAGGCAGCCCTCCCAGGGCATGCTGGGAATTGTAGTCCTGATTGGCCATACCTGCCCGGCATCTTGGAAGGACCCAACAGGAGCTGCAACCTCCTCAGGCATGTTGGGAAATGTAGTCCTGATTGGCCACCGACCTGGTTTGGCCTTTTCATCATGGCGGGCCTGGCCAATGTGGTAAGGTTGCCCTCCCAGTGCATGCTGGGGAAGGGCAGGCTTCCCCAATGGGAGGCCCAACGGGTGTATCTAACCCAGAGAGGGCAACCACAAGATAAGACTACAGCCAAGGGAGCTAAGGTTCTCCTCCCTGTGCATTCTGGGAATTGTAGTCCTTGCAGGCCACACCCATCACACTGGAGCCTTGTTGGCAGCCAATGGGGCGAGGCTGCTTTCCCAGTGCCGGCTGGGAATTGCGGTCCCTGATAGGCTGCACACTCCCATGACTGGTAGAGACAAGGCAACGTAGCCCAGCTCGGCTGGTTCTAACCAGCACCCTGTGTTGGCAAACTCAGCACAGAGGCTCAGGGGCCCTCCTGCCTCTTATGGGCAGGGATCCCCTCCGGTAGGACACCCTCAGGGTGCGCGCCGCCCGCACCACTTCCTGCGCCAACAGGAAGTCGTCCTCGTCCGTGGGACGATGCCAATGGGCCTGCAGCGAAGAGAAGGGAATTCATTGGTTGCTGATGCCCTCGCATCAGGATGCGGGCACCACTGCCTAAGGCTGCTTCTCCCGGTCTACCTGAGTCCAGCTCTGGCTGTTTACAAGCAACCCTACAATAACAAACCAGCACCACCAAAGCACTCTCCCCTGTTGTTAAAACCCAGGAGTTTTGGTGAACTTTACAATACGAAACCATCTTTGGCTTCTGCGCATGGCAACCTTAAAGTGACCAACCGATACCAGCGCACGCCTCTTGGAGCTAAATCTCAGGTGTTCTAAGCAACCCTACAAAAACAAATCAGTGTTTCGCTGCCATTCCCGACACCCCAGAACCACTTTGTATCTCTTGCTAGCAAAGCCCAGGGTGTATTTATCAACCTTCCAATAACAACCAATTCCCATCTCTGTCGATCTCCCGCTAGCATAGCCCATGGTTTCCTAATTAGCGTTACATTAACAAAGCAGCCACCCCTCGGTTGCGAGGCTATTATTGTGTTACAGTCATACAGAAAAGCCCCAGCGGAGATCAGGGCCCTGTTGTGCCGGGCGCTGCACAGACACAGCGAGAGACAGACCCTGCCCCAGCTGGGATCAGGACCCCGTTGTGCTGGGTGCTGCAGACACAGCGAGAGACAGACCCTGCCCCAGCTGAGATCAGGGCCCCGTTGTGCCGGGCGCTGCACAGACACAGCAAGAGACAGACCCTGCCCCAGCTGAGATCAGGGCCCCGTTGTGCCGGGCGCTGCACAGACACAGCAAGAGACAGACCCTGCCCCAGCTGAGATCAGGGCCCCGTTGTGCCGGGCGCTGCACAGACACAGCAAGAGACAGACCCTGCCCCAGCTGAGATCAGGGCCCCGTTGTGCCGGGCGCTGCACAGACACAGCAAGAGACAGACCCTGCCCCAGCTGAGATCAGGGCCCCGTTGTGCCGGGCGCTGCACAGACACAGCAAGAGACAGACCCTGCCCCAGCTGAGATCAGGGCCCCGTTGTGCCGGGCGCTGCACAGACACAGCAAGAGACAGACCCTGCCCCAGCTGAGATCAGGGCCCCGTTGTGCCGGGCGCTGCACAGACACAGCAAGAGACAGACCCTGCCCCAGCTGAGATCAGGGCCCCGTTGTGCCGGGCGCTGCACAGACACAGCAAGAGACAGACCCTGCCCCAGCTGAGATCAGGGCCCCGTTGTGCCGGGCGCTGCACAGACACAGCAAGAGACAGACCCTGCCCCAGCTGAGATCAGGGCCCCGTTGTGCCGGGCGCTGCACAGACACAGCAAGAGACAGACCCTGCCCCAGCTGAGATCAGGGCCCCGTTGTGCCGGGCGCTGCACAGACACAGCAAGAGACAGACCCTGCCCCAGCTGAGATCAGGGCCCCGTTGTGCCGGGCGCTGCACAGACACAGCAAGAGACAGACCCTGCCCCAGCTGAGATCAGGGCCCCGTTGTGCCGGGCGCTGCACAGACACAGCGAGAGACAGGCCCTGCCCCAGCTGGGATCAGGGTTCCGTTCAGTGCATGGCAGGGAATTGAACCCAGATCTTAGGCCAACCCTCTTTCCCCTGGGCCACCCCTTTCCGTTCGGCGCCCAGAGCTCACCCACCAGCTGCCCAGGGCTGGGGTAGGCGGCCACGCAGATGCTGCAGGGGGAGCCCGCGTCCGGCTTTGGGCGCCGCTGCCACAGGACCCCCCCCC